GCTCCAGGGGCTGACCCACAAGACGTAAACAGACACGGAGAGTCCGGCTTGTTATTTTGGGGTTCCGGCCCGTTTATTATGCTCGCAGAGCTTGAACTGTACATACACTTGACATCATGACAAGCAGAGACAGTTTGTGCCCTGTTCATCATTTTACAGATAAACAAGGTCTTACAAGTTGAAGTTAAAACTTCTCTTGAACTGTTTTTACCGACTACACAAGGAAGTATCCTATTTCCTTATTATTGAAACCTTTAGGACAAGATGCTCCATGTTTGTTATTTGAGAACAGGATGCTCTTCTGATATAGACTAAAATAAGCACTTTATTCTTTAAAGACTTTTATTTACGAGTTTAATCTCGAGATTTTCAAAAAAAAGTGAAGTGGCCCTAATCCTCCGTCCTACACTTCGTAATTATCTAATTATCAGTTATTTTGAATTTGGACTGCAGTACCAGTTTTAAACACTAGGTGTCAGAGTTACATATTGCTCCTTTCAAGTTTCTTATGCAGGAAAATGAAATTTGTAATGTGATAATAAGTCATGAACTAAGTTTGAAGCAAAATATTAATGTTTCAAAACAAACATCCCCAAACTTCACAAAAAGAATAAGAAGTCATTCTACAAACTGATACAGACACATTTACACTTCTTCTTCTTTTTCTTGTACTACTTTTAGAAAATAAATAAAATGTCAGATTATCTCAAGAAGTTGGAAATATTGTCCCACATATCAGTGATAAGTGATGCTGCTCTCCTTTGTTTGCTGTTTGCAGAATGTAGGTGATGTTACCAGCTGCAGGATGCTCAAACGTCCAGCAGAGGGCGCTGCAGGTTTGTAGCTTTTCTTGTTTTAAACAGACGAAGCACAGACCTTCTCTCCTTGTGGATCACTGACAGAACACCGTTTTAAAAATGATTTGAACCCCTTTGTGAGTTTTTAATCTGACTCTTTCATACTTTATGCTTCATAAAGGAACGACAGACAGGGATTAAAAACAGAAATCATTATTAACGACCAAATAAGAAGATGAAGGTAGAAAATAATTTAGTTTTTCTTCTTCTGTTATCTATTCAGTACCTTCAGTATCTCTTTTTGTGTTTGTAACTTTTTATTTAAATTTTGACGTAGAACAGGAATACATAGATTTGATATGCAGTGATGAGTAACCTCTAAAAATAAATCCTTTCATTTTCTATACCGACTATCCCGTTCAGGGTCGTGGGGGCCAGAGGCTCTGTCAAGCAGAAACCTCAGATGTTGAAAAATGAAGTCGATGCTGAAGTGTACAATCCTGCAGTTCCTTGAGTGTCCACTAGAGGCTGGCTGCAGAAGCACAGGAAGTCACATACACACCCATTCTAAAAAGCCTGTTTTTACAGCAGAGATGAACATGTTTACAGCCTGGTTCAAAAAACCAAATAGGTGTGATTAGCTCATGTCTGGATGGACACACACTGTACGGGGGGTGAATGTTTTGATGACTCATCAGTTTTGATTTGATGAAGGATAAGAGTTATTCACAATAAGGCGTGTAGCTGACCTGATTGACAGGTGGGCACGGTGTAACGGTTTGTCAGGACGCTGAACGTACTGCAGGAGCCCTGAGTCACACACATGCGCACTGAGCCATTCACAGACAGACATACCCTGCTCGTATAACAATGTGTAGTTTCATATCTGCATAAGTAAAGCCCCAACACAACTATTTGTGTCTGTTATCGGTCTGCCTTGTTAAAGTGTCTCCTGTGCAGAGACAGTTTGTGCCCTGTTCATCATTTTACAGATAAACAAGGTCTTACAAGTTGAAGTTAAAACTTCTCTTGAACTGTTTTTACCGACTACACAAGGAAGTATCCTATTTCCTTATTATTGAAACCTTTAGGACAAGATGCTCCATGTTTGTTATTTGAGAACAGGATGCTCTTCTGATATAGACTAAAATAAGCACTTTATTCTTTAAAGACTTTTATTTACGAGTTTAATCTCGAAATAAAAATTAAAAAATGACGTGGCCCTAATCCTCCGTCCTACACTTCGTAATTATCTAATTATCAGTTATTTTGAATTTGGACTGCAGTACCAGTTTTAATCACTAGGTGTCAGAATTACATATTGTTCCTTTCAAGTTTCTTATGCAAAAAATGAAATGTTTCAAAACAAACATCCCCAAACTTCACAAAAAGAATAAGAAGTCATTCTACAAACTGATACAGACACATTTAAACATTTTCTTCTTCTTCTTTTTCTTGTACTACTTCTAGAAAATAAATAAAATGTCAGATTATCTCAAGAAGTTGGAAATATTGTCCCACATATCAGTGATAAGTGATGCTGCTCTCCTTTGTTTGCTGTTTGCAGAATGGAGGTGATGTTACCAGCTGCAGGATGCTCAAACGTCCAGCAGAGGGCGCTGCAGGTTTGTAGCTGTTCTTGTTTTAAACAGATGAAGCACAGACCTTCTCTCCTTGTGGATCACTGACAGAACACCGTTTTAAAAATGATTTGAACCCCTTTGTGAGTTTTTAATCTGACTCTTTCATACTTTATGCTTCATAAAGGAACGACAGACAGGGATTAAAAACAGAAATCATTATTAACGACCAAATAAGAAGATGAAGGTAGAAAATAATTTAGTTTTTCTTCTTCTGTTATCTATTCAGTACATTCAGTATCTCTTTTTGTGTTTGTAACTTTTTATTTAAATTTTGATGTAGAACAGGAATACATAGATTTGATATGCAGTGATGAGTAACCTCTAAAAATAAATCCTTTCATTTTCTATACCGACTATCCCGTTCAGGGTCGTGGGGGCCAGAGGCTCTGTCAAGCAGAAACCTCAGATGTTGAAAAATGAAGTCGATGCTGGAGTGTACAATCCTGCAGTTCCTGGAGTGTCCACTAGAGGCTGGCTGCAGAAGCACAGGAAGTCACATACACACCCATTCTAAAAAGCCTGTTTTTACAGCAGAGATGAACATGTTTACAGCCTGGTTCAAAAAACCAAATAGGTGTGATTAGCTCATGTCTGGATGGATACACACTGTACGGGGGGTGAATGTTTTGATGACTCATCAGTTTTGATTTGATGAAGGATAAGAGTTATTCACAATAAGGCGTGTAGCTGACCTGATTGACAGGTGGGAGTGGTGTAACGGTTTGTCAGGACGCTGAACGTACTGCAGGAGCCCTGAGTCTCTCTCTCCCTCGGCATCAGTCAGTTAGTGATTCTTACGTGAATCACCCCGAATGTACTGTTCAGTCAGTGCGTTCAGTACATGAATCGAATCAGTGACTGACCAATGCTGACGAGGAACCAGCAGGATACATGAAAGGGAGAGGGAGGGCGGGCTTGAGCAACTCACTCTACCTGGCACGCCACTTGCAGTCTTGAGAGAAAGACACGAGACGGGAGAGAGGAGAGCTCAACCTCGTATTTATTCTGCTGAAGCGTTTTCACATCCTTTTCTTTAAATACCCCTCGAGACGGGTTGTCTCTTCAGGTTTCTGTGTCGAAGGTTCTGCAAGTTCACTGACAACAAACGGCAAACAACTACTAATGTGTACACATGACGAGAAATATTCATCATCATGCTCCACTCGTTTTACTTCCTACAGCGAGCGGGAATCATGAACACACCTGGAATAACCGAGCTGACAGAATCCTGTAGGCGAGTTGTTTGCCGTTTGTGTGTGTGTGTGTGTGTGTGTGTGTGTGTGTGTGTGTGTGTGTGTGTGTGTGTGTGTGTGTGTGTGTGTGTGTGACTCACCTACAGTACCTGAATTACCAAGAAAATACTGCAGGTGGCGCCAAACATCCAGTCTAGTGCAGGAGAGGAGCTGAAGGGAAAACATTTAGTTCTCACCTTTTTTTCTCTTAACTGGGAATGTTCTCGCTCCGGTGTGCTCACTGGGAATAAACCAGTGAACCCACCGCCATCCTCTGCTGTTAAACGAGCGCTCTGCTCGCTCGTTTGTTCAGAGGGAACAAATCGAAAGTGTTACAGGTTGATGAATCACCTTTTTCCTGTGTGTGTGTGTGTGTGTGTGTGTGTGTGTGTGTGTGTGTGTGTGTGTGTGTGTGTGTGTGTGTGTGTGTGTGTGTGTGTGTGTGTATTAGAGACCGCCCCTACCTCGTCATACCACAATACCTCAGGGCAGTGGGCTGCAGTCACTGTTGCGATGTTGGATGTTGAAGCTGCATTGAGGGACGAGCACTGAGCGAAGCTGCGGTCACTTTGGCCTGAACGCTTCTTTGGTTCTGGTGTTGTGTGTGTGTGTGTGTGTGTTTTTTTTTTTTTTTTTCTTCTTCGAGTCGTCAGTAACTGCAGGCGAGGTCTCGTCACTCAGGAAGCTGTGAAGCTGGAAGTCTGCAGAACCTTTTGGAGTTAATTCAGTTTGAAAGTAAAGAAACCTGATCTGTGTGAAAACAGGCGCATATGCAAGTGGTTATGGAATACCTCATTTATCAATTTAATGTTGTTGTTTTTGGCTTGTACAATGCTCCGTATATTAATTCAACTGTGGGGTTTGTGCATATTTTTGTACTGTTATTATTATTATGGACATGATAATAATGATATTACTGATATTATAGTTTTCTCTTTGATTAAAGCAAACAAAAAAAAAAAATAGGACAAAACACCTGAATGCTTGTAAGAACTGGTTTGTGCTGATTGTATTTAAGAGGAGCACTTTTCCAAAGTGGTTTTCACACATTCAGTTTTTGTTCATATTAGTAATATAAAGATATGGTTCTCAGGGCTTTAAACTTGTATGTCATGATAAAGTTTTACTTTATATCTTATTGCTTGTGTGTGTTTTTATTTGAACGTGTGATTCACAGCGGCTGCAGATGTTTATCTCATCGTGCTTCTGCTTTTGGGGGGTGGGGGGGGGGGGTGTCACTGTGACATGAAAGCCTCCGTCTGGTTGTGTAGTGTCGGTGTGTGAGCAGGTCTGCTGATTCTAAACTCATAGACTGTGACATTGAAACGAAGGAGGAAACAGATTTGCATTTACTGTATATACAAGAGGAACAGAAGTCACAAACAAATTCATACAGAAATAGATTTGGTCATCACAAAGCTGGGATCAGAAATGTTACAGAGCTGTAAAATAAGTAAAACATATCAGTGCATTAATAAACATCTTCACAGCTCAGTGGTTACTACATGAACAGGGTAACAGCTGCGAGAATGTGTGTGCATGTCTGACTGAGTGTGTGGTGACGGATGAGATTAGCTTCCGCACTCTTGGGAATACAGCAGTCTGAAAGGTGCTTCAGTTTTTTATATTTTCTCAGCACTTAAATCATGGATCAATTTCTAACAATCATCTGACTTTCTGATGTGATTTATTGGTATTCATAGATTTACACAAAACACTAAACATGAGATATAACGTGTGAAAATAAGGGATGTCGATCATTTCAAACATGTTTGTGCAAAATATAAAGTTAAGTTAGAAAAGTAACTCTATTTGTGTTCTCTGAAACTCTGACAGCATGAAGCGACGCTGTAAATAAACACAGTGTTAAACCACTTAAAGGGTCACAAGCGTTTAACCTGGCTGCTCAGAGTCACACTTTAAATAGATATGGCTCATTTTCAGCATGTCCGCTGCAGCGTTTCCCAACATGCTGCCTTTCACTTTAACTGACAAAAGCCTCCATACTCAGAAACAGTCTGTCCCAACTCAAAGCACATCGCGCAATTCTGAGGTAGTTTGCAAGATCGGAAATTACAGTGAGGGACGCCCGTTCACCTCTGTGTGCACAAAATGCATGTCAAAATAAAATATTTACAGATATGTGAAAAGTACAGGAATTAAACACAATCACTGGTCGAACATCACATGTGACAGGTTCTCTAAAAACTGCTTGATGTCACTGGACAATTTCATCAAGTGGATCTGCCTTATTTTTAGTCAGAAATATCTCATTATACCAAATAAAAGCCAAATTTAGCCAAAGTCATGAGACACATTTTAGTTCATTTCATAAAAAGAAAACAAAAAGCCTCAACTTGTTTGTTAGGAGTAAAAAGTGCAGCAAACAAAAAATGTTCTCTTCCTGACACAAGATTTTGATCTCGTGAAGAAACGTAAGAAAGTCTTGTTTGTAATAACTTAAAGTGAGATGTATTTCTGGACATGTCAGGTGAATTCGGTGTAATGAGACATTTTTGTCAGAGAAGACAAATACACTCAATAAGATTTGAAAAAATCACACAAAAGCATGCATTCAAAAAGAATCACCAGCGTGGATGTCAATGAAACTATGTACTATATAAACACATCCCCAGGCCAGCAAGTACCTCTGGCTGCAAGTTACTCCTGCCTGAAGCCAAGGCGCCCGACTCTAACAAGGCCTGCCTGCCCTGCAAGGCGCTAAGGCTAGCCAAAGGGGGGAGGGGAAGTCACTTAGCCCAGCCACACCAGGCTGACAGACAAATAAGGAAAAAAAAGTCACTACAGTTTGGCTACACCGAGCACCAGTCCTCTGACGGACGTGCATGCAGCTACAAATAATCTGGTAGAACCGAGCAATGTAGAAGTGACAGACCAAGAAGGAGCGATGCAGATCTCACTCGGAGATGCATCATGTAACAACCCCCCGGATGCCGCCATGCCTCAGGGTAGCACCCGCGCTCCCGAGCCACAAGTACTGCCCACATACTGTATGCCTGCTGGATAGCATCTACAATCCAATGGGAAAGACAGGCTTTTGACAATGGTTGACCAAAACGGACCAATGATCTGTTCTCCTGTGAGTTCCTTTCCGCTGCACATACTCATATACATATCCGGTACATACATAGTGTACCGGACATACCGGTAAGCGTCTGTGCTCCTTATTCTCTCTGCATGGAGTAGAGAGACCTGAACTCAACCCAATGACTTGTCAGAGAGTTTGAAAGTACCTTGGGGAGAAATGCCGGATTCAGCTGCAGACCACCATCACGAGGACCTCTGCAAGTTCCTGCCAGAGAGAGCCTGAAGCTCCCCAACAAGTTGGGCAGTGACCAGTGCCAGCAGGATGGAAGCCTTAAGGGAAAGCCACTTTAAGTCTTCTGAGTCTAGGTGCTAGAAAAAAGGGTCCGTTCCAGAGCCTGTGGCACTAGCGCCAAATCCCAAGGCGGGAGAGAAGGTCTGCAATGACGGCCAGTTCGACTTCTGGCCCCCTTGAGGAATTGGGACACAAGGTTGCCAACTTCCTCAGGCAATTGGCATCATTCTATATGGGCTGCCTTGATAGCCACCACCATACCCCTGAGGGTAAAGGGCAACTTTCCCGCAACCAGGAGCTCCTGCAAAAACTGCAGAATCTCCGGGGCAGAGCATGTGAGAGGAGCTACTTAAAGTTCTCTGCACCATGTCACAAAGGCCCTCCATCTTTGTTCATAGTGGGTCCTCGTTGATGGGGCACTAGCCATGCAGTGTTTGGACCATTACGGCATGGCCCATGGCTAAGAGCTCGGTCCTCTCAGGAGACATGCCCAGATCCTCAGTCCCTTGGGAAAGGGATGGAACAGAGTTCCCTGTACCTGCGACATCAAATCCTGCCAGCCGTTAGCTGACTAGCCTCCTTTCTCTAATCGAGATTGTGTTATCTTAACATGTTGTACCACCACCTCCCCGCTTCAGGTTTGGACAGACACTTTTAACGTACATATGGAACATGTAACGGATTGGAGAGATAGTCTCGATAGGATAAAGAACAAGTCTTACATGTTGTCGCTCGGTGACTGGACGTGATGCAGCCTGAATCAGGGACTCTTTGTAACGAGCTGTGCATTAAGTCAGCGTAAAAATAGCATAATAATTCAGATAGCCATCAAAATATAGATCGTTAAACGTAAATTCAGCAGTTTGTTGGAGGAGGATGCAGAAATATTCAAACAGGAACATTTGAGGTTCAAAGGCCATTTCATCATATCTATAATGTTCAGTCAATTCTATTTAAAGGTGCTGGATTATAACGGAATGTAAATATTAAAAATATATTGATTTTCTAGATCAGTGAAGCAACTTGTTAGCAAGGCATCTGTCCTCATTAATAAACTATGACACAAAAATATCAAGATTTCAAAAAATATCAAATTAGAAAAATGCAAAAATAAATCACTATTTGTACTTGTGGTGAGAAATGAAATAAATAGGTGGTTGCTGGTGGCAAAGTGGTTAGTGCGTGTGCAGCATGTAGGGAGGCCTTAGTCCTCCAAGCGGGCAGGTTCGAATCCGACCTGTGGCTCCTTTCCTGTATCTACCTATCAACTGTCCTATCTCTCCAATAAAGATACAAAAAGCCCTAAAATAAATCTTAAAAAAAGAAAAGAAATGAAATATATAAAAAATAAAGAATCTGTTGTTTAATCCTCCTGTTTGAGCCTTAGCTCCTATAGGAGGATAAGGACGTCACTGTGCGACACGACCCTCTGTCCGACTGGGTGGCAGAACGGCCTAATAATCTATTATCTTCATCGTATCTATACTATTTATTCAGGACTAACAGGACAGCCATCAGACAAACACACAGCAGTAGTCTTGGAGAGTGGCCTGCGGCCCCGTTCTGCAGTTTTAGCTGATACTTGACCACCACCTTCTTGTATCCCTTCTCCTCTGACTCACATGTGTAAGTTCCATCCTGCTCTGGACTCATGCTGTGGATCAGAAGAAGACACTCCTGCTCCTTCAGGCTGCAGGATTTGGAGCCCTTAGGGTGGAGCCAGGTGTACTCTGCATGGAGTGACGACACCGGGCACTGCAGGAAGTACTTGGACTTGTAGGGAACATCCTGGACTGCATCTGACTCACCTACATATTAAGACAACAAGAAAAGAACACAAGAGGTTTGTTTACTTTGCTTTATTTAGTTAACCTGTATTTAACAGGCTGCTTCCTTATTCCAAATAGAGCATGACAAGCATCTTTCCAAGGTACCTGTATCTTCCTTCAGCACACAATGACTAAAGCTCGATGTGCATGAGATGGAGGACAGTTTCTCTAAAGCTGTTTATACTATGCACATACTGAAATCTTCAGGACAGCCTGCCCCTGAAGTGGTTCATAACAAGTTCCCTGGTTTATCTTTCGCACATTACCATTTTTTTTTAGTTCATGCATTTGAGGTGTCAGTGAATAACCTTTTAGATAATAAGATGCTTTGCAGACTGCTTGTAATGAAACAGCTGGATGATCAGGTGAATTAATAATTAGAGCGGGGGATTAAATAGTCCTTGAAGGTAGGTCACAGAACAGGGTATTGGTACAGGGTACCATAGATCAAATATAGAGTTTCTGGTGGTGACATCAGAAGGAATCCACATAGCCTCCTGCAGAGAAAGATACCGCATGTTTCCAGGGAAGAGGGTGGAAGAAGCAGCGCTTATCGTGTGAAGCACACGGTGACGATAGGAGAGTAAGAGTCACATCACCAAATAAGAACATATGGACAGAGACAGACATGATGTGATAAGCTAAACATGGAGCCCTGCGTTACTCCTGACTGAGATATGCAAATAATGCAGCCACCAGTTTGTAAAGTGAAGTGAGAGAGAGCGTGCACAAAAAATGACACTAAAAGAGCTTCAGCAGAAACACCTGGAGCAGGTTTCTGTCTGTTCAATCTGAGTCTGGTTCTGATCCAGGTTTCTGTCTGTTCAATCTGAGTCTGGTTCTGATCCAGGTTTCTGTCTGTTCTGCATGAGTCTGGTTCTGATCCAGGTTTCTGTCTGTTCAACATAAATCTGGTTCTGCTTGCTAAATGTTGCTCCGTGCTCATGAGGATCTTTGTTAATAATAAAGAGAGATCTAGGCCTGCTGTTTTGTAAAGGTTCCTGAGATAATATTTGAATTTCTCAGTATAAATAAAGATTGATTGATTAACCTGTGAGTGTTAATTTGTAAATAAAGTCTTACCCAGTCCAGGATCTTGAAGCTTTGAAAAAGTCGGACAGATATCATGCTTCCCTTGGGCCACATCCTGCAGTGAGTCCCTGAGAGAGGAAGAGACCTGATTTAGAAAAGGCTCCAAGTTACATTAAAGACAGAGGATGAGTTTGCTCAGTGGAGTTCTACAAACAGGCAAGTTCAACTTCTCCATTAATTGAAGAAATTGCATACTGTACGGTTTTGAGACTCCCTGTGGGGAATTTTTCAGACTGAAACTAATCAATGCCTTTTTAATGAGCTACAGTATCAGAGCAGACCTTCAGACCTACATTGTGATTTTTAACTTCTGTAATCGCTGCCACACGATAAGTGAAGCTGACAACAGATTTCCTTTAAAACATTTTCCACAGCAGATATTCACAATGAGTGACATGTTGACCATCAAAAGAAAGCAGGTTCATATAATCACTACCTAAGCCTTTCATACAGCCATGCCTTGCACAAGGACACTCAACATGTGCGCTGCAGGATCTGTGAATGCACCACCAACCTCTGGGACTGACTCATCTTATATACATACAGAGCAACTGCTCTCTGTAAAGGTGTATCCCCTAGTTTGTCTACTTTTGAGTTTTGGGGCTTTCATTGGATGTTGAAGGTGGATCCCCAGATGATGGCTCATTTGTTAGAGTCAGAAGGTCGGGGGTTCGATCCCCAGCTCCTGAAGCCACATGTCCGATGTGTCCTTAGGTAAGACACTTAACCCCAAGTTGCTCCCACTGCTTCATCTGCAGTGTGTGAATGTGTATGAATGGATGAGTTAATACTGATGGATTCTTTAACAGCGGCCTCTACCATCAGTGTGTGAATGTGTATGAATGGATGAGTTAATACTGATGGATTCTTTACACAGCGGCCTCTACCATCAGTGTGTGAATGTGTATGAATGGATGAGTTAATACTGATGGATTCTTTACTCAGCGGCCTCTACCATCAGTGTGTGAATGTGTATGAATGGATGAGTTAATACTGATGGATTCTTTACACAGCGGCCTCTACCATCAGTGTGTGAATGTGTATGAATGGATGAGTTAATACTGATGGATTCTTTACACAGCGGCCTCTACCATCAGTGTGTGAATGGATGAGTTGATACTGATGGATTCTTTACACAGCAGCCTCTACCATCAGTGTGTGAATGTGTATGAATGGATGAGTTAATACTGATGGATTCTTTACACAGCAGCCTCTACCATCAGTGTGTGAATGTGTATGAATGGATGAGTTGATACTGATGGATTCTTTACACAGCGGCCTCTACCATCAGTGTGTGAATGGATGAGTTAATACTGATGGATTCTTTACACAGCGGCCTCTACCATCAGTGTGTGAATGTGTATGAGTGACCTGCGGTGTGAAATCTCTTTGAGTAGTCAGAAGACTAGAAAAGTGATTTTCCAATTTACTTAAAGGGGCTCTGACGGTTAGAATATCACTCATAGTAGGATCACAATCATCCCTTTCCGTTGCCCCTCTTAGTCATGCTCTCCTCGTGGTGGGTGGGCGGGGGGAAAAGGTAGTATGAATAATATCACTTTCCTCACCTCCTGTGTGCTGGATGCTTCAGTGACTCATGCTGCCTGCAGCTTGTTGGTTTTGAAGTGGAAATAAAGAAGTCGTGTCAAAGTTTTACCGCACACCACCTCCACCACTTCCTGCTCTACATAGCAGAACTCAACTCTGCAGATGTCAATCACAATATTTCTTTTTTTAATGTTCTGGTTGCATTCAGAAAAACTTCTGGTTGTGATGATGGCTTTTATCATCAGAGTTGATCGGACACAGGTTTCTAAACTCCTCTTTCCTGACTGATAAAAGTTTCTTCTCACTGAAGATATCGATGTTTGACACATTCTGCGAGCATGAGATATATGTTTCATAAATCCAAACCCTGCCTGTTGCTGCTCAACAACACTAACATGCCACAGCGATTAGCCAAGCCTCATGACATCCACATGCTCTAATAAAACTATGTGCTTTTACTTTAGAATCAAACAAACTAGTTGTTCTGCAAACTGTGGCGTGTGATGAGAAGTCATATGAGAGGGATCTTTGTTTTAGGGAGAGTCCTCTTTAAACAGGTTTTAGAAGGCATGCTGTGTTCACAAGAGACCAGAAATAAAATGAAATGTGCAGAAATTAGGTCAGAAAATTAAATGATTCTTTATCAGCTCTGTCAGGACGGTTAGACTATGTAGTCAGAGGCTCTGCTCAGGCCGCCGTGTCAAGCCACAAATAGTGACTTCCTGTAACATTTCCCCTTCCATCTGAATCTCATGGGGGGGCAAAGTGACACCCCCCCTCCCCCCTCTGTACCGTCTTCAGAGGTAGTAACAGAGGTGAGATGGTTTCAGCAGGGGAGAACAGCTCTGTGTGTGTGTGTGCATGTCTGACTGTGTGTGTATGTGGAGCTCCTGCTGTGCCGTGTTTCTGCAACGCGTTGAGTTAATATATGTGTACAAAGACGAGATGGCGGCTGAGATTAGTTACTGAGCTTTTGCCAAAAAAAAGGCAGAGCCAGCGGGGGGGGAGAGAGAGAACAGTGTTTCTTCACACTGGAAGTGAAGACACATCAGGAAGGTGCAGTGTGCGGTGACTCAGCTGATGAATCGATGGCGGTAACGGTGATGCTGAGATGACATTGAACACACCTTGGGTGTTTGAGCAATAAGCAGTGTTTGACTCCAGGGTCAAACCTCCGGTGTTGCAAAATGAAGCCAGAGCTGAAGGGGGAAAAATATGAAATTCCTCGAGTGTCCACTTGAGGCTGACTCTTAAACCGTTCAGCTCCCAGTTTAAACTGTCTCTTTTTTTTACAGCCTGGTGTGTGTGGCTGATTTGATGAAGCGCCGTGTGCGGTTACTTCTGAGTGAATGAAAGCGATGTGTGATCTCTTACAGTGTCACAGGGACGCAGCGGTTCAGTGCCCAGCCGCAGTTTGGGTCTCTAGCTAACACGCAGTCCTCACAGCGGTCTCCATACTGGGCACAGTTTGTCACGTCCACCTGGACCAGTTCACTTCTGGAGGCTGCATACAGCTTCATCTGCAAGGAGAGAGGACAGAGCATTTCTTATAGTACAGCACTTAGTCACCAACACTCCTCACTCCTCCACTCCTCACTCTCATCCACTCCTCACTCCTCACTCCTCCACTCCTCACTCCTCACTCCTCTCCTCACTCTACTCCTCACTCCTCACTCCTCCACTCCTCACTCCTTCCACTCCTCCACTCCTCACTCCTACTCCTCCACTCCTTACTCCTCCACTCCTCACTCCTCCACTCCTCACTCCTCACTCCTCACTCCTCACTCCTCCACTCCTCACTCCTCACTCCTCACTCCTCCACTCCTCCACTCCTCACTCCTTACTCCTACTCCTACTCCTCACTCCTCCACTCCTCACTCCTCACTCCTCACTCCTCTACTCCTCACTCCTCCACTCCTCACTCCTACTCCTCCACTCCTTACTCCTCCTCACTCCTCACTCCTCCACTCCTCACTCCTCCACTCCTCCTCTCCTCACTCCTCCACTCCTCCACTCCTTCACTCCTCACTCCTCACTCCTCCACTCCTCTCCTCACTCCTCACTCCTCACTCCTCCTCTCCTCACTCCTCACTCTCCACTCCTCCTCTCCTCACTCCTCCACTCCTCCACTCCTCCACTCCTTACTCCTCACTCCTCCAGGTGTCTCTGTGGAAATGTGAGTAGGCAGATGTTGTTACTCACAGAGTTCTGGTTTAGGATCATGTTGAGGATGCTGGTGTTGTGTTTAAATGTCTCATACTCTGCGATGACAAACGTCTGATTCTGACTCTGCGTCACTTTATGAATGGCTCCATTATCTGTATGAAGAGAGAATCATTATTTAGTCTGAGCACACTCCACTCCCACTCTCAGATTCTTGTTTCTTCACCTCTGATGACTCATCCAGAAGGTCGTATCATACTCTAGATTATCTTCTTCAGAACTCACAGTAACCTTAAAGATGAAGAACATGTCTGAACTCTTCCTCCTCATTATTCAGGCTGCAGGACTCTGAAGTCGCCACTGATGATAAAAATCATGATGATCTGGAACGGATTGGTTCGGCCATTTTGGATCACACACGACTGCGCTTACATGGACTTGAGTGAACCGGTTTTAATCGGGTTTTTAAGTATTCTCTTTCTGTGTTTGTTCAGGTAAACATTCAATCCTGATTTCAGAAACCAGGATCAGCCCTTATCCAGATTTTGAGAAACCAGATTTTGCTACCTAAAGAACTCTGATAGGTATACACCTCACTATTGTTGCTGTCAGCTGTCGACTACCTGCACAGGGCTGACCGTCGGGGGGCGGGGCTTGTGAGGGGTGTCAGAGATTGTGCTGAGCTCACAATAAGTCACACAGGTCTCATGTTTCTCAGATTTCGAAATCAGTTTGTGTTGCGAAAAATAAACATCACAGACACCTGCAGGAATGAGCTGCTGTCATCAAAAAGCAGGATACGAGTATCGGTCATGTATCCTGTATTTAATGCCATTGTTCAGTGGTTGTGTATTGTTGTGTAGATGTTGTTAGTGTATGTTTTTTATAGTTGTTTAAAACATTTTCAGGTAAAAAAGAAAAACATAATCAAAAAAACTCAATACAAGAAAACAAACAAAACGCCTTCAGAAGAACTCATGACAAAAAACAAAGATTATTATGAATGTGAAGAAAATTAGAACAACAGCAAAGAAAATGATCTAGTTGCAGACGGTGTCCCTCGTGTGTGTTTTGTTTCTTAACAGAGACGTTGTCTCCGTCTCCTGCCCGGGGACTACAGATGTAAACCATCATAACTCTGGTACAGCTGATAGGCTGTACACTGTCCCTGTCAAAATCAACAAATAAATAAATACAGGGAGAACCAGGTTTCTCTGAGTCCAGGTAAACACCAGATCCTGAAGATGAGAACCAGACTCAGAACCAGGATCAGAATCAGAACCAGGATCAGACTCAGAACCAGGATCAGACTCAGAACCAGGATCAGACTCAGGTCCATGTAAACTCAGTCAGGAAATTAAACAGCTTTGAACTTTGGCATCTGCAGGAGCCAAATTTAGACTAAACTTTCAGATCCTTATTGAAACCACAACGTTGCTTCTGAAAGTTTTTTTTAACCCTTTAAGGATGATGTGGACATGCACGAGTGGAGAGGAGTGCACCGAGCAGTTGGAGGTACATAGACTTGCCAAAGGGCACGTCAGCAGGGCTCAGGAAGTGACCTGGCACTTCTTCAGCTCCCAAAACCAAATTTCCAGACTTAGTCCGCACCGGGACTTGAACCGACAACCCTCTGTGTTTCCCAACCCAAGTCCCTACAGACCGAGCTACTGCGGCCTCCAATAAGTTGGTTTCCTCATAGCAACGCCCCCGCTCTGTCTCCATGTTTATGTCTATTTCACTTTAAGGAAAACAAATAGAGGAAACCATGAGTATGGGAGTGGCCTAACCCGAAACACTGTCAGGGGGCGGGATGGCGCTCTAATCACAGACTCTGGAGGTCGAACTGTAATCATGTCAGTTTAGGTTTAACTGAAGTCTGTTTACTGTGTGTGTGTGTGTGTGTGTGTGTGTGTGTGTGTGTGTGTGTGTGTGTGTGTGTGTGGGTGGGGGAAGGTCTACAACCGAAAATCCTAAAAACATTGAAGATAGCTCAGGAAGGACAGCATGACCAAGACCGCTACGTGCTCACTTTACGATCTCTCTTACGCCCCTCAGAGTGTCAAAGGTTGGACGCTTTATTGTGTCCCTGAATGCATCATTATCATGTTTTACTTGGTGAGTCTCATGGGCAACAGTCCGTCCACTGCTGGCCAAAGTCCAGAGAGTGTGTTGACACATCGAGTTCAGATGTCATGTGGTGAAATATAAAACACATGACCTCACATCACAGGATAAACGAGGCGTTTCTGTGTTTGGGAAAACTAAAATAAACCAAAAAACCAAAGTCATGTCTCTGGTCTTTGGTCATCAGCCATGCTGCCGAGCTCAAAGCTTTGAAAAGGCCAAACCGAGCTTCATCTCCGGCTCCAGATTAAAAATGAAGAATCTGTTCATGTAGGACCGGACTTTAGGTAGGAGTAGTAGTCTGAGTTGTACTGACCAATCAGGAATGAGCTTTCGATTATACAGTAAAAAAAAAGAAGAAGCAAGTGAAGGACATTATTCCCATTATTCTGACAATAATTCATTTATCTCTAGAAACAGACGTCATTATGCAAGTCCAGCTAACAACCAATCAGAGATAAGAGCATGTCCAACATGAGCTTCAAATCTGTTCGACGATGTGTCGCAAATCCCGTCAGCGTTCAGATTTCCTGACTTCCTGAAATGCATCAGAAGTGATCGATCTGACCTCCATTCAACAAAAGTTTTAAAAGTTGTTTTCTCCTCCTCTTGAGGACGGACCTGACGAAGCTTTTATTCTTCATCACAATGTTATTTTAACAAACTTAAGACCGACTGAAGGCAGGTAACTTCAGGTGGCCTGTACCATCCTCGAGGTCAGCCTGCGTTCCCAGAGGCAGACGTCATCATCAGACAATAATATATAAAGATCTACAGACCTATGTGACTTCCTGTAAACTATTTAAAGGAACCAAGCTGTTCATGTTTCCACCCTGACCTGTTCACACAGGTTTGTACTTCACTGTTCTCACTGATCACTTCCCTGATTGGTATCTACTGAATCACTTACGCAGAGACAGAAACAGGACCGGGTGGCGTTGGTTCCTCTTGTCCACGGAGATGTGAGTGTACCTGTGGCGATCAAAGACGAGTGGGCGCGAGCTGTCGGCAGGTTTAACCCATTCCTCCATCTCCGAGTTCTCCTCGATCGACTTCAGGACGTCTAAACTGATCGCGGTGCTGTCGGGGACGCACTGAGGAGAAACACAGACGAGCTCTGATGGAACAAACACCACATGACTTCAAATAACACGTGAACTTTATCATTCATGTGGAGGCAGAGCAATAACATAGAACACCTTGTTCTGGCTTCTGGCCTTACAATAAACTACAAATACACCAGCTGGTACCAGGAGATATGTTTTAAATAATTCACTACACATGAAATAAAACAGCAGCTTTGGTTTGAACATCACTTCAGAGAACATGCGTCTCTGAGTCTATACGCACGCCGTGTGTTTGTCAGGAGACTTCTCAGAAAACATATTTATATTTTCATTTCATTGTACAGTGTTCACCTTTGTTATTATTTTGTATTACATATTTGCTTTAATACAGTGTATAGCTTCTGTACAGTTACTTAGCTGTTACTACAACTTTTTTATTTTTTTTATTTGTACTTTTCTTTTTTTCTTATAATGTTTTTCTATTTTATATATAATTTTAACTTTTTTGTAGAAGCTGACTCAGGGAGAAACGCACAAAAATTCCAATGTACCTGTACTGTCCTGTAACTGTGCAAATAGCAATAAACATCTATTCTATTCTATTCTTTGCTCCTGACAGCAGAAGGAGTGTGAGAGGCCGAGCGAGGGGACCCGCCCAGCTCGCCGGCTGTGGGCAGCAGATAAACAAAGTAGAAACAAAGCAGCTGTAATCAAATTCCCTCCCCGCGTTCCTCACATTTCTTCTCATGAGGAGTGGAGGGAGGTGAGGTCTGTGACCTTCGTCCACCTCCAGTCCAATCTGTTCATCCTTGAGCCCAGCTGTTGTTCCCTAAACTTCCCAAACTCTTAAGATTTCATGTTTTTTTTTGCTTTGACCTCACGTACCGCTCTGCGCCTGTCGACTTGGCTGCCCGCGCTGCCGCCTTTAAATGGAGAGTTGGTAAAGATGTTGTGAAAGTCCTTCACCCTGTAGACACACACAGCGCTCATCCCCCTGCAGAGAGAGAGACACGGAGGTCAGTTCGTTTTTTACTGACTCATCTGCAACAACAAGGAAGTGCTGGGAGGTCAGAGCAGATCTTAGACGTGCTGGTTAAAAAAAAACACAGCTGAGCAGACAGTGTCTAAAGTAAGGACAGAAGAGGAAGCAGAAACAAGGTGAGAGAAGTAACTGAGTTCTGTCTGTTCTTCTTTTGTCATCAAAACACAACAGAGATAAATAACCGCTGAGTCATCAGTCAGCAGTTAAACGAGGGTTTGTGGTCACTAAAAGGCTGACTGTGCATTTTACACATAAATATAGCAGAGATCAAGTATCTCCTCTGAAAATAACTCTGTGAGTCATGACTGTCTACAATGGGTGTAACACCCGAGTCCCACTGTCTGTGATGTTTTCAGAGTCCTATCTTCACTTTGTTTACATCGCCGGGACGGCCGGCTGACTCCTCCCCTCGTGTATAAAAGTTGTTTAATTGAGGGACTAGAGAAAAGAAGAATAACATACTGTACTCACTGCTTAACTGTGTTTCTAGATCACGCTCATTTCAGGTAAATTTACATGCAGTGTGAAGATACCAGCATAATAAAGATCACTAGCATTAGCATGCTAACACAACAATGCAGCGCGAGTTGTTTTGGTTTCATGCTGGTGCTCAAGGGCGACATCAAAAAGTCTAATTTTCTTCCTTTAATGTGGTTAAATGTGACTCTGCTGTTTTACACAAAGACAAAAACAACAGCGTTGGCTTAAATCACTGTGACGCACTTTTAATGTCCTGATGCTAAAAGAAGCTAAAGCAGAAACACGAGTGAATCCTGAGAAATAAATAAAGATGAGAGTCTCTTCACTGACTCAGAGTTCAGTCCAACAGTTTGCTCACGCTGTCTGGAGCTGGCGACGCATAAGACAATTTTCAGATCTTAACCAATTTTAAAAAAGTGGAGACAAACATGGAGGACGATGGACGCTGACAAAGTTACATAGTGCTGAAAACAAGGCGAGCGGGGCGCTCTGTGGACATGAGAGAGACGCCATGTTGGAGGTTATTGTTCTATTAGATTGACTTTGAGACGACTGAAAGGGGAGGAGTTACAGGTTGTTGCTTTGACAGCCAGTAAGAGGGTGTTGAAAGATCAGAAAGAGTTATGCAATTGTTGAATTTGTTTTTGTTTTTTCCTTTTATTATCATTTAATTCTTTCATCATTTAATACATAGGTCATAAAGTCTTTCAACATTTCCTGTTAAACTCACACACACTCGTAGTGCCTACGCTCCTGTGAGGTCAAGATAAGTGTGCCATACATTGAAGCAAAACCACATAGGAGCTCGTAGGTGTATAGCGTTTCTGAGTATCAACTCTTCTGTGTGTCTGCTCGGTTCACGGTCTTCGAGCTGAAACCACATATGAACTTGGTATTACCTGTGTATGCACCACGTTTCTGCAAACGTGCATTGTTGAGGTGTTACAGGATCTTGAAAAAAAGACCGACCTTTTTGCTATAAAAACTCTGGAGAAAATCTGATCGGGTTCCTTTTTGCTTTGCTAAACGAATCCACGCCACTCCGACTTTTGAAATCCCATTTTGGGACTTCTCTGAGCCAAGATCTTTTAAAACCTCAAGTGTCTACACTCACAGCTTTAGGTTTGGTCTTTGAGTTTTGTTCTCCTTTTCCATATTTTTATATCTTTTACTTTTACTGTTTTGTATTTGCATTTGGAATATCATTTGAAATTTTTAAATACATTTTCGGAAACTTTTTGAAATCATTTTCTGACTGAAATTATTCACACCACAAAGACTGAAAGTTCCCCTTAAGGGCCCCGTGAACCTCGGAAGGTAAGCTTGAGCAGTCACACCACGGCACACTTGTCTTACTGATTTATATTACACACCTCATACACACCTAACATCCTAGCGAGGGGAGTTCACAGTTATTCCCTCTCTGGGGGGTAATCTAGAGTCCTATACCAGGGGTTATTCTTGAATCTAATTATTCTAGAAATTAATGTTAGGCAGATAATCCTGGGGCTGTGATTATAACAAGTCCTCTGTCCTCCAAAGGGTGTTAGAGGAGTCATTTTACATAGCTTCAGGTACTAGGAAAGAGTAGACTAGCGGCTGGTAGGGAGTGAGCTCTCACTTAGTTCTAGGAAAGAGTAGTCTAGTTAACTAATGGTGGTGAGCTTCCGTTAGCTATAGTAAAGTTATTCACCCCTTTTGTGCATGTCCAGAACATGCTACAGAGGGTTATCATGTATTTGGGTTCCGATTCACTTTAGGACTCTGCTGCACGCTGTGGAGTGATGTGTGATCCCTCTCAGTATCCAACATGGAGGATATGAAGTCTTACCATTCGTTCTGGAAGAGTGCATAAACCCTGGAGTCCTGCCAGTGCTCTGCGTGCACAGCAGCCACGTGGACCAGCTCAGAGAAGTGCTGCTTGCTGTCTGGATCTCCGCAGTAGAGCCTGGCGTTCATCTGCGACGTCCAGATATACTGCATGTGTTTCTTGGGACCGCCCCTGTCTGACTAAAGCAAGCCACAGCCACACTGTCAATCACTCCTGCACAATGACTGAGCACAGGTTACATATAGTGGAGTCCTTGTTTACAGCGGGTGTACTGTGTGCATTAATGGATGCTACTACAAAATGTTGATGCATCTCATTAAGACATGGACGTGGAGTTGGTCTGCTTCCTGTTGGACAGGCAGGTGACAAACACCTGTGTTAGCTTGCAGTGTAGCTACAAGCAGTAAACGTAAACACTACATCCTTCAGAGAGGGAGAGCTTCTGGGGTACAAAATTCTGGGAATTTTCAAAAGGTGGAAACTTTCCATGGGAATTTACAGGAATTTGTGGGAATAAACGGGAATAAACCAGGGATTTACAAAAATTGAAGATTGGCCCTTAACAGGTAACTTTAAGTCAAATTCCTTGTATGTGTAAATGTACTTGGCAATAAACCCAGATTCTGATTCTGATAAATCCTTACCATGCAAACCTGTGAGACGAAGGGGAGCCACATCCCGCTGTACAGGTCTGAGTCTCTGTTTTTCTCCTTATAAAAGGCAAAAACTTTATCCTGTGAAGGGTCTTCTGCCTGTCTGCTGATCACCAGACCCACATAGTGCTGCTCTGTGACACAGAGGAGACAGAAGTCAGGGACATGGGACCTTTTCAGCAAACTCCACAGACAGATAATTCAGCAGTAATACGACTTTGCAGCAGCTTTCACACCGAGGGAGACGTTCAAAGATCTTAACGACAAAGTGAAGAAACATGAGAATAAAACACAACAGGTTCTGCAAGATAAAGACGAAGAATCCAAACTCCAGAACAGGAATAAGAAGAGCAACACACACTGTAAGAGTCTGCATGTTTAAATCATAACTTTTCATGGGTCACAAAGTTTGCATCACTTACAGCTTCGATAAAGGAAGACCATAAAGTTCTTAAAACCCATCTATCATCATGCAAATACCTTTATTATGGTTCGCTGGTCCAACGCGGTTTGTTCCAAACTTGTGGACTCCAACATTCTCCTGAGATCCAGAGTAGGTCGTGTAAAGGTCGGCGTTTGTTTCTGATTCTGCAAAACAAAACAACCACAGATGACCACTTCTAAAAGGTTTCTTTCTTTTGAGCAGAAATGCGGATCATATTTCAGTGATAGCATTAAAAAAAGCTGCTTACTGAAATGGCAAAACCTGTGAGAGACAAAGAGTGTCTGTGCAGGCCGTGAAGAGAGGCTAAAGGTTCAGGGAGGAAGCAGCGGCATCACGAGCAATGGCAGAAAGAAGAAGAAGAAATCATTAGAGAACTGAACCAAGAGGGTTAGTAGAGCTTATAGAGACAGCAGCTTTCGCCTTCAAAATAAAATACAGACTTCTCCTTCAAAATAAAATCCAGACTTCTCCTAAAGTGAAGCTTCTCCATTGTCCCTTCTGGGCCTCCGTACATGTGTGGTGGTGACTGTGTCTGCAGAGACTCTGTCCTCTCACTGGATCTTACTGCTCTGATTTGTTCTGGTTGACTCGGGACGTTTCTGGGCGGAGCTGGTGTGTTTCCTCCAGCCAATGACAGCGCAGAAGGTGAGTTTAGGAGTGGATACAATTCAGTGATTGGACGAGATTCAGATAGGCAGGTGACAAACACCGGCGGTTAGCTTGAGCTAGCGTGTGTTAGCTTGCAGTGTAGCTACAAACAGTAAACGTACACACTAAGTCCTTCAGAGAGTGAGAGCTTCTGGGGTACAAAATTCTGGGAATTTTCAAAGGTGGAAACTTTCCATGGGAATTTACGGGAATAAATGGGAATAAACCAGGAATTTACAAAAATTGAAGATTGGCCCTTGAAAGGTAACTTAAATATAGTTGAGGAAAATATATTTTAGCATAATCTCGACTAAAACAACCAGATTTAATGCAGGTACACTTGAATATCTATTTCCTCAATCACATGCACATAGCACACTGCTTACTGCAGGGCTATTGAGGCCACGCCCCCTGCATGCAAAATGTTTATATTTATGATTGGATATGATACAGTACGATTAAATTACCCTCAATTTCCAGTTAATAACCATAATTCCCCTGGAAAGTTTCTGGAAATTTACCAGAAATTTTCCACCCCTTTTCAGCCCTATCGGTGAGCCCAGGAGGAGGGGCCCAGTTTGAATGTTTACAAACATTTCTACTGACTCTACGTTTAAAAGAGCGTAAAAGTTCAGCAAATATGTTTCCTGGATGAAGAAAGGAAAAGTAACCACTGACGACAAACCAGTGAATCAGGAAGCAAAGACACACATGCAGGAAATAAAGTAATCTGTCAAAACTCACCCACAAAAACAGACGGTTCACCTTCCTTCATGATAAATTTTCTGATACTTCCTTGTATGCTCCTCATTTTTTCAGAGGTACGGCACTCGGGAGACGGAGCTGATAGAATCTACGAGAACACAAAGGAGACCTCTAAGAATCACCGCTGCACAAAGGAGAAGTGACGGCTCAGTGTAAACGATGGACGATAAGAAAAGAGACGTTAAGATGGAGTCGAGCACCAAAATACTCCAAGAAGATAAAACATACAGAGCGTCAAATATGAGAAATATAAAATATAGAGCGGGTTAACAACCGGGCCTCACAGAATCCAGTCCAAGGACTTTAACTGTTTTTAAGCCATCTACGTGAGCATGCACGTTCACAGACACATCATGTCAGTCTCCAGTCAGTGTGTTTTACAGTCTGCAGCGTCCTACCACGTCACAGCACAAAGTCTCCCTGCCGTTGGTCCCACACACATACGCCTGGTCGCCCTCTTCCCTCTTTTGCACCGCGGTGATGTTAAAGTCACAATCCTAGAACACAAGAGAGACTTCCATCAGATCTGACCGACACACCAAATGTTCTGCTGCCGTGTTGTTTTGATGCTCACTGTGGTCGACGTTTTGCTGATGATGCAATCTTTCCACAACAACGTTCTTTGCACAGGAGCCTGTGAGGGACAAAAAGCAGGAGAATCACTTTCTCACATCTATCTTTCATGGACAGGATCTCTATCTATCTGTGTGTGTGTGTTGGTTGTTGATGAAATTACACTACAGATATTTGACTGGTTGAGATCCTACAGCATGCACATCCCAATCGTTGAGTACTGAATATATCTACACAGGCAAAAGGATGCTCAGGGGTTGTATATATATGTGGAGGTGTGGCTCCTCTTGTTCATGTCTGGTGGAGGGCGAGGGGCCCCAAAGGTCACATGAGGTAACATGTTGTTTACCTGCAGAGGGTTTTTAAAGTTCAGTGAAATCAGGTGCTTTGGTCCGACAGCTGTGACGGTGTCTGGTTCTCCTCCTGGAAGAATCTGTACAGATGTTTGGTCTCCAGGTAAAAGTGTCCTCTTCATGGAGGGGTCTGCAAGTAGAAGAAAAACAGACTCATACAAAGCTGGATGTGTGATCGAAAAGGTGCACCAGCTTTGGTTTTAAAAAAAATAATTTTAACTGATTATTTTACAGTTTTGAACCAAACGTTTGGACACAGTTACAGGAAGTAACGTCCGAATTTCTCAGAAGTCTGAACACAAACTGAGAAAAAGAGTTCAAAGACTCCACAAACGTCTTTTCAGAATAAAACTCAGCATTTAACCGTCCTGTTGTGTTTGTTTGTCAGCGATAATGTTCCTGGGTCAGTTTGACCTGGTGCACGTTTACTCATCAAAAAGAGCCAAAAGATCCTAAAAAAATCGTTTGTACCTCGTTACTAAAATCATTACTAACAATGCAATCACTACTTAGAGCGAGGGCGATATGACCTCAAATCAACATTACGATTAAAGGCTTTCTATGTGATTTTTCACACTTAAATATAATATAAATCAAGTCTATCCTCTGAAAATAACTCTGTGAGTCATGACTGTCTACAATGGGTGTAACACCCGAGTCCCACTGTCTGTGATGTTTTCAGAGTTTTCAGAGTCCTATCTTCACTTTGTTTACATCGCCAGGACGGCCGGCTGACTCCTCCCCTCGTGTATAAAAGTTGTTTAATTGAGGGACTAGAGAAAAGAAGAATAACATACTGTACTCACTGCTTAACTGTGTTTCTAGATCACGCTCATTTCAGGTAAATTTACATGCAGTGTGAAGATACCAGCAGAATAAAGATCACTAGCATTAGCATGCTAACACAACAATGCAGCGCGAGTTGTTTTGGTTTCATGCTGGAGCTCAAGGGCGACATCTACTGGATCAAAAAATCACATATGAAGACTTTAAATGAACATTTGACCTCGATTACCATTAATGAAGGATTATTTGTTTTAGTTTTTTTCCCCTTATAGATCTCCGACATGATCTCTACTGTAAATATGATCAACTGTTAAAGCTGCATGTTTCTAATGAAAGAGAGAATATCTGATGTATGGAGGCTGTAGTCCTCCAAGCTGGCGGCCCAGGTTTGAATCTTCTCTCTCTCTCTATGATTTCTGACTCTATCCACTGTCCTCTCTCTCCATTAAAGGCACAAAAAGCCCAAAAATAAAATCTTAAAAAGACGATTTTGTGTTTTTTCAATTGAATATTTCAAACTGAAATCATCGCTTGAAATGAAAACAACAAATTTTAGTTTTTAAGTAGAAATGAACTTCTCTAAAACAGTAGAAAATCAATATCTTGCATTTCAAACAGTTTTTCAGCAGTGTTTAAATTTGATTAACAAAGGAAGAGAGACGAGTGTTGTGTTCAGAGTCATTAAAGGAAAGAGGACTTTAATCAAAATGTTAACAGAGTTAAACTGGATACCTCACGCCCTTCATTTCAACAAACTCCAGAGAAACACCTTGTAGGAAGATAAATGATTTTAACCCCTGTGATGAATTACTTTTGGTTAGAAAAGTACAAAAAAAATCATTTCCTAATCGTTTATTGACAAAGATAAAAGGTATTTTATGGGGCTGTCGTGAAAGGTGGATTCTTTCGTCTAAACATTTGTAATACTTCTTTTTGATGAATAACAGGAGGGTTAAAATCACATTTTCTCTTCTCTAAACCAAAACACAAAAATATTGCTGTATATGCTCATTCCTAACCGGGGGACCAGTAGGGGGGCTCTAAGATTAAAAAAAAGGGGGTTTGGGAACCTCTGTTACAGAGCATCAAATCAACACTGACCTGTCTCAGTAAAAACAAAAAGGTGTAACATCTTTATAATAATCATCAATTCTGCTTTGTTCTTCAATCAGGAGTCATCTAGTGAGTCTAATATGTGTCGCTATAGAGACACGCTGCCCTGTGATTGGCTCAAAGTGTTTTTAATTTTAATTTACAAGAATAAAAGGTGAACTTCGGTCTACTTCAGGAGTGACCTCTGTCAGAGTTATCGATCAGGACGGATTCAGAAGAGAGTGAAAAGTGAGACAACCGACCCCGGTCTCCCCTGAAGTCGCAGCTTCATCACACTGTCTCTCGTTTGACCGAAACTCGTCACCTCTAAAGGAATCATCTACACAAATGATTTGCAGATGTAGAAGAAGAAGAAGAAGTTAAGTATGTCCTACCTGTGTTTGAGAATCTCATCCTCGGTGCGTGCGCGGACATCGCCTCATTAAAACCCAAGAGACGAGAAATCAGTAAGAAGACGAATAAAGACGGTGGAGACATGTTTCAGTCTGTGTGTGTGTGTGTGTGTGTGTTTCAGTCTGTGTGTGTGTGTGTGTTTCAGTCTCTCTGTGTCTGTGTGAGTGTTTCAGCCTCTCTGAGCAGAGGACTCAGAGCAGATAGGAGAGAGGGCGGCTCTCACGACGTCAGCCTATCAGAGCATAGTTCCCATAGCAACTCTCCCTTCTTTGATGTTTATCGGTTAAGGCTGTTATAGAGGTTTCTCATCTCTCCGTTACGACGGAGGATAAGGGCCACGTTAAAAACGTTTGTTTTATTTTTTTATTTCGAGAATAATCTCTTAAATTAACGAGTAGAACTCTTAAAGTATTTTCCTCTGCAGACAACTTCCTCCATATCAGTGTGGCTCTTTCTTCAGTTTCTTGCAGCATCTTTTCAGGGTGCTGATATTTTAAAGACAATGTGAAGATGATGATGTGCCAAAAGCATGTTGTTAACCTTTCCTGCTTCGCGTTCCAACCGTGGTCAGGGCGCACAGGGGAGACTTATGGATCTGCTCCAGGGGCTGACCCACAAGACGTAAACAGACACGGAGAGTCCGGCTTGTTATTTTGGGGTTCCGGCCCGTTTATTATGCTCGCAGAGCTTGAACTGTACATAAACTTGACATCATGACAAGCAGAGACAGTTTGTGCCCTGTTCATCATTTTACAGATAAACAAGGTCTTACAAGTTGAAGTTAAAACTTCTCTTGAACTGTTTTTACCGACTACACAGGGAAGTATCCTATTTCCTTATTATTGAAACCTTTAGGACAAGATGCTCCATGTTTGTTATTTGAGAACAGGATGCTCTTCTGATATAGACTAAAATAAGCACTTTATTCTTTAAAGACTTTAATTTACGAGTTTAATCTCGAGATTTTCAAAAAAAAGTGAAGTGGCCCTAATCCTCCGTCCTACACTTCGTAATTATCTAATTATCAGTTATTTTGAATTTGGACTGCAGTACCAGTTTTAAACACTAGGTGTCAGAGTTACATATTGCTCCTTTCAAGTTTCTTATGCAGGAAAATGAAATTTGTAATGTGATAATAAGTCATGAACTAAGTTTGAAGCAAAATATTAATGTTTCAAAACAAACATCCCCAAACTTCACAAAAATAATAAGAAGTCATTCTACAAACTGATACAGACACATTTAAACATTTTCTTCTTCTACTTCTTCTTGTACTACTTCTAGAAAATAAATAAAATGTCTATTAAAACATCTATTAAGTCTGTTAAGACTGTAGGTATCCACTGAATGAAGCCGTAGCTTGACGCTCCTAGAACTCCTCTCTTAAGTAATTTTCATCCAAAAAATCCACAGGACCAAATGATCAAAGTTTAAATGTTTACTTAAACATAAATAAACAAAAAACAGATACAGGTAGTCCAAAACTATACAAAAAGAGAGATGAGGAGAGAGAGGTCAAAAGACTGTGTGGCTCCATTCTCTACTAGTCTGAACTGAGCCCAATTAAGTCCACAAGCCCCTCCCCCTCCCAGATCCAATGAACAAAAAGTATTACATGCATCCATAAATTTAACATGATGAGCAATAAGGCTCCTACAAAGACATTAAGACATTAAACACCCCCATGTATCTGGAATGGAATGATCCTCGTGCCCGACTGACAGTCAACTGAGACTCTCCCCTAGTTTGTAAATTATACTAAGCAACCTTTATTTCTACGTGTCCATGCAGAGACGTCTGAGCGTACCACTGAACTCTGATTTATTGTAATGGTTTTAAGAGGAAGTCCGTACAGTTATAATTTTTTTCTTTCATCATTTTCTTTTGAATTTTGAATATTCAAAGTCAATTGATGTTTATTTATTTATTTATTTTTGTTGTGTTTTTTAATGAACTAACTTTCTGTTAGATGTTGGGAGAAACCTGAGCTCCAGGAGTAAACCCGACCCGACAAATAGGATGGACATGTGAAGGGGGTGTATTTATACGGGGGAGGAAGGGGGTGGTGGGGGTGTAAGCTGGGGCGGTCCTTGTGATCTACTTCAGACCCTGCCCTTCTTTTTCTTCCCACGCTTCTTCTTGGACTTGGAGTCGATGATCTGCTGAGACTGGCGCTTCAGCTCTTCCCGCGAGAGGACATCGGGCTCGTCCTTCTCGCCCTTGTCTTCCTCCTCAGAGAGGTCGTCTTCAGTCTTGATGAAGGCGTTAGCCCGCAACCGCCCCTCGGCCTTGACGGAGAAGCCGACCTCTTCAATTTCTCTCTTGATAGCAGGCAGGTCTTTTCCCTGAAGCTTCTCGAGCAGAACATCCAGCTTCAGCTCACACTCGTCCAGCAGCTCCAGGAAATACTCATCGGATTCAGGACACACCGTAACCCTTCTGTCCTCTGGTAGTTTGATGTGTTTCAGTCTGTCAGCGAGTCTCTCCGACCACACTCGGATGAAAACAACGGTTTTATCAAGCTGACTGTGGCGCTCTTTGCTGGCGTCACACCAACGTTGCTGAGCCTGCAGACGCTGCTTGCACACGTCCAGCATCTGTTTGTCCGAGCAGAGCTTAGCCGCTGTTTTCTCCTTCATGTCCTGAAAGTTTTCATTGAGGATCTCCCTCTCTTCCTTCAGTTGCTGCAGCACCTTCTCATTCTCCTCCTTCTCATTCATCAGATGTTGCCGGCTGTCTTTCTGGGAGATTTTCTTCAAGTCCTGTAAGCTGCTTATTCCGGTGGCCTCCTTGATGCGCTGAAAGGCCTGGTTCAAAGTGGACCTGGCTCTCTCCTCCTCCTCTGCCATCATGGTGCTGCTGCGCTGGGCCTGGCTGCTCAGCTCTTCTCTCTGCTTAGCTTCTCTCTGGGCATTTTTACTGATTTCTTCAGCCTGGGCCTGGAGCTCCTTGAGCTGTTTTCTCTTGCTGACTTTAGTACTCTCTGCCCTCGTGATCTTCTCGTTGTAATATAACTCCAGCTGCTTTAACTCAGCCTTTGAAGCCTCATTAAAGTTCTCAGCGATGGTGACCCTGGACTGCAACTCTTCAAGCTCTTTTCTGTCCTTCTGTCTTTCTGCTTCCATTTGTTTCCTGCTGGCCGGGTAACCCAGAGCCTCCTCCTGCAGCTGAACGATGGCTCTGTCCTCGGAGGCTCCACGTTTCTCCGTCATATCGCACTCGGCTTCTATGCTGTACACGCACTTCTTCAGCTCGGACAGGTACTTGCAATCATCCTCTTGTTTCTGAGTTTGAACAGCAGCAGAGTGTGAACCTCCTCGCTCCTCGCCTTGGCACTTGTCGTTCTTAGTGCCATGATCGACGGCATTGATCCGTTTAAGAATGGACAGATTCCTCCGTTTTAAAGTGGTAAGGGCCTCCTCCACTGACATGTTGGAGAGCAGCCTCAACAAGTCGGGTCGGTCAGGAAAAGCTGCTTTGATCACATTAGCATCTTTGTTAGCTTCTGCAATGTTCTGTTTCCTCAGCTGCTCGTTCTGCTGCTTCAGCTGGTCAATCGCCGCTTTCGTTTTGTTGACGCTGGCTTCAGTGCGATCCTTGATTGCGGCTCTTTCAGCCTCCACTAGTCGGAGCTCGATGCGCGCCTTCTCCAGTTGCTCCTTTAGCGGAGCTTTTCTCAAGTCCTTGGCAGACATTTCTGTATTGTTGTTGTTGTGAACAAAGAAAAATGCAGTTTAAAATGTACCTACACTTAGAGCTAGCTTGGCGTAATCAAACCTGTGTCCTGTCTGTCAGTATATCCTGTGCTTGGACAGCTCAGATTAAAGACTCTTATGACATCACCGGCCTTTGATCTCTGACATTCATTCCTGTTTTGTTTTTTTTAACTTTATTTTGAAGAGAATGTTTACATTTGAAAAAACACATTGAACATTCTGAAACTTTATTTAAAGTGGCAGTAAGCAACATGAACACTCCAATGGAATGCAGCCGACTGTTGTCAACCTGCCTGCAAAACAAACATTCTCCTCACAGGGTCACTGTGATTGGCTAGTAAGGTGCAAGCTAAGCCCTGATTGGATGCTTGATTCAGACCTGCAATGTGTTTAAAAATGATCGACATTGAAGCAGGCCGCAGACAGACATCTGTTCAATTAACATTTTCATTTATTACTTGCAACATCTGACCCCTAGTGTTTAAAATGTGTACTGCAGTCCAGATTGAAAACATTGTAGAGAGCTGTCCCCCCCCCCCTCTCTAGAGTCAATGCTCACGCAGGTTGCCATGTGGTGGACACTGAAGCTTCAGTGTTTATCCAGCTCTGCATGGGTCTGTAAACCTTTCTGTGTTCTAACCTGTTAAAAAGGCCAGATTATGACCTCACGGGTTTCCATAAGGCAGGCAACCTTCCACTTGCAAATACTGCTCCTGTTCAGCAGAATGAAGAGGACAGAAATGAGGATGGCGCATGTGGCGGAGAGCGTTCACCGTCACCCATCAGTCAGGATGAAGGTCTTTCTGCACAGTGGGAAGTTAAGGAGCAATGGCCTCCTAAAAGAGACTATCAGAAGACGATTGATCATGAGAAGTCAGCACTGCTTAATGAAATGGAGGAGCTTAAGTTGCAGAACGCCAGACTTCACTACGAAAGGGAACACAGTAAATTTAAGCTGGAGCTGCTCAGCAATCAGACTTCCCATGATTCTCATCAGCTCCACAGACAAGTAGAACAAGTAGAGCTTTAATCCAGCAGCTGCAGTTGAACAGCTCTTCTCAACAGCCAATATCAACCAGCCTTCCTAACATAGAGCAGCAATCGCAAAGTCACGAACGCAAACCAATCAGCATAGAAACATATAAACAGTCTGACCCTAGCTCTTCTGATAGCGAGGGAGCCGAAGAGCGTCACTACAGGCCAATACAACACAGAGATCTAACGCCACCTGAGGGCAACGATGCAACCAGGAGGCTGGGCAAACCCCACAAGCTTCATCACTGCTGTCACCGAACGCCAAGCCCAGTAGGTGGACAGGAGCAGCTCTACAGGGGCCCAACACCACAATCCCTGACATGAGCCACCCGAACCCCCGAGAGTTCAACCGGCTAAGTATTGCCCTAGGCAATCTTCTTCCACAAGATGCTTCAGAGAGATTCAATTATCAAATACTTGTTGACCACCTTAAGACTGAAGAGGCACAGTTAATTGCTGACTCCTACTGTAGCTCTAGACATCCGTTTACTGACACCATGGAATCCCTCAAGATGCAGTATGGACAGCCCCACCAGTTGGCCTTACAACGGATTGCTGAACTGATGGATGGGCCTAACAGTGCAAGTGGCGATGCACATGCTTTCAGAATGTTTGCCCTGCGTGTGCGGTCCCTAGTGAGTATGTTGGAACAACTTGGAAGAAAGGGCTCAGTTGAACTAGAGTGTGGCTTACTAATTTCTCGACTGTTGAGTAAACTCCCACGTGCTCTTCGCTCCAATTTCCGCCGTTTCATTCACCCCCACAGGTACCTGTGCCCAGTCTCATTGACCTGGCTGATTGGCTAGAATTTGAACTACACGTGCAGGAAGACAATACCCGATTCAGTAGCAGTTCAAAGAGGGAGAAGGAAACAAAGACCAAAGGACAAATTAAGTTTACTTCAGGACCTTCAGCAGTTCTTATGAACACAGCGCCCATGCCTCAGAAGGCGGCAGCTCCATCACCAACCTCAACTGAGATAAGCAAGAAATACTGCCCCTACTGTGATAACAGTAAACATTCTCTCAATAACTGTGATGCTCAGCTCCAGCCAGAAGCAGACCTGGATTAAGGATAACCACCATTGCTGGCGCTGTGGAAGAGGTCACCGGGCAGCTGAATGCAACCTGAAGATGCTCTGCAAAAGCTGTAACAGTAGACACCTCCTAGCTCGACATGACATCAACGACCGGGCTAAGGACGGTAAAGTGCAGACTTCAGTGAAGACGGAGCACATGAAGGAACCTTGCAGCAGTGCCGCGGAGGAAATCTTGTATATTGATCGACCATTAGAGGGACGCAAAGTCCTTCTCAAAATCAGCAAAGTGGTGTTGAGGAATGGAAATAGAACTCTGGATGCCTATGCCATTTTGGATGATGGTTCTGAACGTACTATCCTCCTCCAGTCAGCAGCCCAACAACTAGGCCTCCAAGGAGAACCTGAGGACCTCCCACTCAGAACTGTCAGACAGGAGCTACAGATTCTTCATGGTGCCATGGTCTCATTCACTGTTTCCCCGGCAGCTGAACCACATCGTGTGTTTTCCATCAGCAAAGCATTTACTGCAAAACGCCTAGGGCTAGCTGAACACACACATCCAGTTGAGGCCCTGCAGAAGAAGTACAGGCACCTGAGAGATCTGCCCCTGCAGCCATTGCAACTTGTACGACCAGTTTTGCTGATAGGCTCTGATCACACTCATTTGATCACATCAATAGAGCCAGTACACCTGGGGCCCCCTGGAGGCCCTGCAGCAGTGAGAGCCAAGAGTGCTAGTGTCTGAAGATGAAATCTGAAGGTGTCCATCGATACGCAACTCCTCTCTTGCATGTTCAGAACATGCCTACAGTCAAGGCACCCAAGGAGGCAGTCCTACCACAGCTCAGAGCCACAGAGAAAAGGCTGATGAGAGATCCAGAGAAAGCAGAGGCCTATAATGCTGAAATCAAAAGGTTGGCTACTGCAGGTTACATCAAGAAGCTGGAGCACGGTGGTGAAGACACTCCAACCAGCTGGTATATCCCCCACCACATGGTAACCCATAATGGGAAACACAGAGTGGTCTTCAATTGCTCATTTGAGTTTAGAGGTGAGAACCTGAACAAGCTCCTACTCCCAGGACCAACCCTGGGGTCCTCTCTGCTGGCTGTGCTTCTGAGATTCCGCGAGCGTGCTGTTGCTATGAGTAGTGACATTCGGGGCATGTTTCACCAAGTCAGGTTGCTCCCTGAAGACCAACCCCTCCTTAGATTCTTGTGGAGAGACCTAAAACGTGAAGAGCCACCAAACATTTACGAATGAAGAGTGCTCCCGTTTTGAACTACCTGCTCTCCCTGCTGTGCCACGTTCGCTCTCCAGAAACATGTTATCGATCACAGCATGGAGGGTGAGGACATCAGAGAGGCAGTCCTGAAGTCATTCTACATCGACAACTGTCTGCAAAGCCTGAAATCTGAGGATGAAGCCAAAGCCCTCATCGATAAACTGCAGGACACCCTGGCAAGTGGGGGCTTTGAACTGAGGCAGTGGGCTAGTAATAGGACTTCTGTTATATCTCATCTCCCAGCTGAGATCAGATCAGAGAGTGCAGAACTGTGGATAACCCAAGGTCAACCAAACACCTCTGAATTAGCTCTTGGACTCCTCTGGCATTGCTCTTCAGACACGCTTTCTTACAAGCACCGTCTCATTGAGCACCCAGCAGTCACTCTCCGAACCATATACCAAGTGCTTGCCAGTCAGTACGACCCCCTGGGGTTTATAGTGCCATATACCACAAGAGCCAAGGTTGTGGTGCAGCGACTGTGGGATAAAAAGAGGGGCTGGGATGACACATCTCTCCCTGAAGATCTCCTTCAAGCCTGGCAGCAGTGGGAGAGTGAGCTCCTTGCGCTGCAGAGCATCACTCTACCGAGGTGTTACAGCAGTGAGAGGATTGACACTGAAAGCAGTTGGAGAGCAATTCACATATTTTCTGATGCCTCAGAGCTCACCCATTTTCTCACAGCTAGATCTTGTGTAGCTCCGAAGAGACAACAGTCTATCCCCCGTCTTGAGTTGTGTGCAGCACTTACAGGAGCACAACTGGCTAAAGTGTTGGAAGAAAAACTCACCCTTCCCATCCACCAGGTCGCACTGTGGTCCGATTCAACAACCGTTCTTGCATGGCTGCACTCTGACACTTGCAGGTTCAAAGTGTTTGTAGGAACGCGAGTTGCAGAGATCCAAGAACTCACTGGAAAGGACTCATGGAGATATGTAGACTCTGCAAATAACCCAGCAGATGATATAACCAGAGGCAAGCCCCTGAAGGAGCTAACAGCAGACAGCCATTGGTTCAAAGGTCCTGCCTTCCTGAAACAGAGCTCAGAACATTGGCCACAGCTGCAGCAGGTACAGTCTATCCCTGATGACTGCGAGGAAATAAAGAAACCTACCTTCTGTGGACTCGCCATCATAGCTGCTCCTCCTACTGTTCCAGACATGGTGCAGTTCAAGACCTGGAAAGAGCTTATCACAGCAACAGCCCAGTCCCTTAATGGGGCGGCCAACACTTCGCCCTCTGCTGATGATTATACAGAGGCAGAGAGAACCCTACTCCGGCTAATGCAACAGGAGAGTTTTCCAACTGACTTTCAACAGATGCTGGATGGTAAACCCTTATCAGGCAGCAGCCGACTTATCACCTTAGCTCCAGAGTTTGACCAGGCCTCACAGCTCATCCGTGTTGGGGGCTGGCTGCGCCACACCACGCTATCGATGCAGAAACCATCCATCCAATCATTCTAGATCCCAAGCACAAAGTAACACAGCTCCTTATACAGCACTATGATGACTAGCTTCATCATCCAGGAAGTGAGCAAGTGTTTGCCGAGCTAAGAAGGACATATTGGGTACTAAGAGGAAGGGAGGCTGTTCGACATCACCAGCATCATTGCATTGA